GTTGATGGTGCATTTCCTCTTGCTGAGGCTTAGTCTAGAGGAGGCCAAGTCTGGGGTGGAGTGTGGGCACGATAAAGGATGCAAATGTGATTGATGCCTTGCTAGCAAGTACAAGTAAGTACTAACCTTTATAGCTCGAGACGTATCCCTAATAAATAGACGGCCCTGCGTCTCAGCTCAAATTCACCAGCCCATCAATGGAATAGTATGTTAATGGTGGAAGAAACAATTTCGATCTGCATCCAAGAATACCTTGATGGCCATTGGCTGGTATGGGGTTTGGGACGGGACATTTGCAGTGCATTTACTCAGTACGGGAAATATATAGCATGTGCCTGAGAATTCCATCTGGGGCCCAACTTTCATAGCCTTCTGTCGTCACACAAGCGACCATGCTGCTCCCATCTTTTGGTCATCTCAATCGGATCAGTCAGGACTTTCTTCAGTGCATACGCTTGGAGAAGGTTTAATGTACATCAATCCGACTTGTCCAATTCGTGTGCCAGATGATGCTGCACAGCCCGCTTGATCCCTTCCTGCATACTAACCTGGGGTCGGTATCCCAGCCTCTCTTTCGCCTTTGAAATATCAAATGTCCGGGTCATGGTGAGGTACTTGACCATGCGGCGGTTGATATTGGATTCTTTGGATCCGAGGCTGAATGCCCAGATGGCCCATTCCGCGACGACGGCGAAGGCGTAGTACACTGAAGCCGGTATCACCTTCACTTTGTCCTTGGGAACCGGGTGGCCAGCCTCGGCGGCCATGGCCCGAACAAAGTCCCAGAAGGGCCAGTGATCATCGTTTGTGATGAAAAATGCTTCCCCGTTCACTTTCAAGGGGCCATCGCGGTCGGCACGGCCGTCGGATTCACGGAGCAGGGCGTCTGCAGCCAGAATGTGGGCATGAGCAGTATTGCCAATATAAGTCAAGTCGAAGAGGTTGGTGCCATCGCCAATTTGGAATATTGTTCGGCCAGTCCTGGAATTTGCGATCATTTGCGGTGTTGCCGTCGTATCGCCTTCGCCAAACAAGAGGGAGCCACGCAGCCTGGTGGTAAGCAAGCCGTTGTGTCGGTTCGCGCCTTGGATCAAGTCTTCGGCCATAGCCTTGGTATGGCTATAGAACTCGGTTTGTTCGGGCCAGTAGAAAAGGCGTCTCTCCTCGGTAGCTTCCACAAGGTCGGTTATGTTGTTGTGGATGACGGAGGAACTGGAAGTGTAGACTAGAGCTTTCACATAGTCTGTCTCGGCAATGCAGTCGAGTAGGATCTTTGTTCCGCCTACGTTGACAGTCTCATACAATTTGTGTGTGTTCTTCTGGCCCATGAGCTGCGGAGATACCGTGTGCATGATGACCTTTGGTTTGACGGTTTCCAGCACCGAGCGCACATCTTTCTCTGAGGCTAAGCTTCCCTCGATATACTTCGCTCCTGGCACGCGATTGACATCAGTCCTAATGTCAAAAGAAGTCACGTTCGATGCCTTCTTGGTGTCGAGAAGTTGTTTGATGATATGGTGACCAAGGGCTCCGCAGCCGCCAAGCACAAGAACTGGATCCATGTTTAATGTAAGTGAGAGTGTGCGAGGTGTAGGAGAGAAGTCGTGCGATGGGAAGCCAAGAGAGAAGAATGAAGAGGGGCGAGAAAAGAGGGATGTGAAGAAGGGAGGTAGGCAGCAAGGCAAATGCTCGGATGGGGCGGGGGCTAAGCGGCAAAGCAACAAATCTTTCGGAACACAGCCAATGAAGGGCGAGCCGGCAGGCTGGGTCAAGTAAAGATTCCTGATCAATGAACTTGCAGATTGCACGAACGAACAAAGAAAATCACACATTTTGATAGCCACAAGAAGTTTTAAGACTTCCCCTGTCAACCATTTTTACTGTTCGCTCGTGTGTGGAAACATACAGTACAGCCCTCTACTGGGCCTGCCTCAATGAAAACCTTTCCGCTTCCACCATAACCCAAACAACTGTGTTCTTCATGTACGTATGTAAAAGTCTACTCACGGTCACATAAACATAAATTTTGGTAAATCTATCATGAATCCAGCCAGTGTGCAACTCTTCAGAAAGGCGCAATTCCGCCGACGAAATTCACGGCGTCGGGTCCGTTTTCAAGATATGCCCATCATCACCGAAGTCCCGTAGCTCTGCCTAAAATGTGGTGGGCGCTTGAAACTTTTGCCAATGTCCCGAGTGCGACGAAGGCGGTGGCGGCTGCTCGTCGCTATCTGGAATCTGCACCTGGCTCCGGCTCTTCCCAGTCTTGGACAACAAGTACCGAAGAGCACTTTTAGCGCTCGTCTTGCCTGTTCGAACGAAGCTTGGGAAGAAGATTATACAGCTGCATATAATGGCTAGATTGATCTCGACCGTGCTATTGATAGGGTCAGAACGCGAGCATTCAAATGTGTCCATTTCGAGGATATGCACTTACGTGAAATGAGAAACCAGCGCAACGGAGTAGAACTGGTCTCCATCTCCGTACTCACTGGCCAAGAATCCGAGCCTGATGACGCTCATTGCACATGCCCTTCATGCCGGTTAGCTGACATACGCAGTCTTACTCGGGTTTCGACTTACACAAAGCTGACCATGAAAAGCGCAATGAGACCCATCTTCCGATGCCTATTCATATGCAAGCTTTTCAGCTGCCTGATAGGTATGAACAGGATGTAAAAGTCGCTTACTACGTTCAGTGCACTGTAGATTGCATTGGTAAGGCTCGTCGTGTTAGCATGGCAAACGCTCTCGTACACGGCATTCGGACCGGTGCACCGGACATTTCTAGAGATGACCACGCTAAAGAACGGAACAGTGATGATGGTACAGAAAGCGACGCCGACGTAGATGAGAATGCCCGACGATTTGCTGACATTGAAGACGCAGTGCAACAGGGCGAGAATGGAGAGCTTCACGAAGTAAATGATAACGATGTAGATGGTCTCCACGACGGTGAGTTGCAAGAGGCGCTCCGGCGTCATGCTTATCAGTCGAATGTTATACAGGTGCTATCCATAACCGAGCTTCACATCTGCCCAAAATCAGTGTCGGAATCTGTATGCCAATGTCATTCACTTACTAGCGAAGAGAAGCGCCGAATGCACTATGGACCCGGCCTGGACAGTGTCAGTGAAAGATTAACTCCGAAGGCACTTAATAGCACATACGGTCGCGACTAGACATAAGGCTTTGGATAAAGTTAGCTTAGGCTGGTAAAAATCGCTTTTTCGCTCTTCGATTCACGTACCATCATCTAGTCCAAACCTCTGTCTTGCTATCCACTACCTCGATATAAAACGAATTAACACAAAGGTGACCGCAAGGGCCAGCCACACGGCATTCAGAATAACCAATGATTTTACAGCGTGTGCAGGGACATTGAAATTGGATTTCTGGCCGGGAGGAGGAGCCACCAAAGGAATATTCCCAATTGGGACACCAGGTGGTAATTTCATAGACATGGCGGCAGAAATTCGACGCAAAGGATTGAGTGAAGTTCAGATAGGGCGAGACTGTTGTACGCTATGTTTGAGGGAATTATGGGGTGTATACTTATAAACGAGGTGGTGCGCATGGTGAATGGCCAGGCATCGATAACAATCGGTGGGTGGGATAGGTCGTCTCACCCACCACGGAAAACGGGATTCCACTTAACCCTTGCTCTTCCTCTGTGCCACCATCTTTGCTTACAGTGCATCAACCCGCTAAAAAAATGCAAACGGGAATATTAATTGAAACAAGGCAAAGGGTGGATAAACACCCATGCTGCTTGGCCTGTTGAGATGCATACGCCTCTATTTGTCTTGATGCGCTAAATTGCCTATCGCGCGGCGCAGTGCAGTCTCTCAGCACACCCCAGGACAAATTTTTCTTAGCAGAATAAGGAATGTGCCAGAAATTGAACGCATAGAAACACCTCCGTGACTTCAGAATTGCTCGCAGCCCCGACAATGCTTACAGACACTATAGAAAATGGACTGAAGCACACGCACCAACCAAGTTTGATTATAGAACAAAACGGCATCGATGTCTAGTTCTATATATAATAATTAATGTATAAAACTTTTAAAGTAAAGCTATATAATATAATAGTTATAGCTATAATAATAAAGATATTAAAAATAAGCTTTTTAAGTAATTGTAAGTAAATTAAACTGGATTAAGTATACTAAACTATTTAAGAAATTTATAAAGTTTATATATTAATTTAGTTTTTATAGCTTTATAGCTTTATAATTCCGTTGGAGCTGTTCCTTAATCCTTATTTATTCTCTAAGAGACGGAGGTATTCCTATCATCTTTGTAGAAGTCTTTTTTAAGAACGCTTCTAGACAAAGACACAAGTACGCGCGCGCAATCTATTACAGCATTAGGCTGAGGTACTTCTGCAACAGCCCTAGATGCTGAGAGAGGCGTATTCCTACTTTTGAGTAGCTTTCCGGGCGGCAGTGCAGTTGGCAACAGCTTAAAGGCTCTTTCATTTGTAGAGAGCTTCACTCCAACCTGTGCTGCACAGCGAACTGCCGTCGCTAGACCCGCAAAGAAGTTTGCACACGAGTTTAGAAGTAATCTAGTGCTATAATTGAAGGACAACTGCGCAGCCCTTTGGAGCTATAACTACTAGTTGCCGCGAATGTCCTTTGCCGCAGGCTTTAGAGACGATCTCCTTGAATGGTAAGACAAGGCAGAACGATCTGATCTGCTGCATTGAGTGTACTTTACTCAATCAATCAACGCTTGATGTTGGCGGCGCAGTTCAATTGTCTTAATGTAACTGTATAAAACCTCTAGGAGGCGCAATTGAACTGGAATTAGGGAACTGCGTCTCTATAACCAAGAACCTAGGCGCGTCGCAATAGAGGCACAGCATTTGACTTGCTTATGCTGATGTTAGCTGAAGAGAGAGGCCGTAACTGAAATAGAAAGACGAGCAGAGTTTCTGTTAACGTACTTTACAAGTAACCGGGCTACACAAGTAATTGGGCCACCTCTGCCAAGACCCTACTAAAATCGCAACTTATACTCTTGCGCACAGTACAATCGCAATTAATACTATAAATTGTAGTAGGCTATTTTACTCTACTGCGTTTTCTACCTTAGATTTGCACGTGCGTGAGTTGTGTCCTGTCTTGCTGCACTGCCTGCAGCGCCTTTGAGTCTGCTTGCCTTTATTAACGCGCACTCTCTTCTTAACCTTCTTTCTATTACTACAAGCGCCAAACTCCTTTAGAGCACTTAAGCGTGCTCCCTTCTTAATTGTTAGAGTTTCTT